TTATCCTGCCCATTTTACTGCTGTCTAAGTTGATAAGCAGAATCTGGGGCGTCCTGGTTAGTGTTGTAACATGTGCAGTGTGTGTTTGTTTACCTGCAAGTGTGTGACCAGTTGCACATGCTCTAGGGCTTTTTATCTTCTCAAAAAACACTTTGTGAGAAAACGACCAACTGTTCTTAACCCAAACTGCAGCAGCCTGGGGCTAAGCACTACTGATGACTTTCTCAAGTATCAGTTTATAAATTTGGCTGATTTTCCACAATTAACAGATTCATTTTGAATTACTTGAGAGATCTTCTGGGCTAAATCAAGTCTTTTTATTGAAGTGTGCTGTAGATGATATTTATTTTTTCAGACCCAAAACAAATATTCCAAGACAGCTTTTATTTGAGATTCAATAAAAAACATTGGAAATCCAATCCATCAGTTATTGCCTGCAGGCATCGTTCCTTTGTCTAGATCGACATTAATTTTCTGAAGTGCAGTTCTTGATAGTATTAATGTGATTATCCCACTTTTCTATACAAGAACAGCAATTTGATTCACAGCATATTTGTAAATGAAATACCACGGCCTTTCACATTTAAAGGCGTTTTCTTTCCAGTGTTGCACAGCTGTATCACACACCTTTTCTCTCAAGCAAGCTCAGAATGTTATCAAGTTTTTCTTCTCCTGTCAGTGTTTGTAAGAAGTGAAGAGGGACTATAAAACTTCTGGAAGAGTTAAACTGAGTGAGTTGTGTCTGTTCTCAGTTATGTCCTGGAGAAGTGTCTGATGCCCTAAAGCACCTCATCAAAGCCCAGCCTTGAGAAGATGCATTTCAGCCAGTGCTGGGCTAAACATCCCACCTTGTTTCCAGAAACATCCCACCTGTTTCCAGCCGGCCCACGGAAGGCAGGAGGTGCTGTTTACACCTCTGGGCCGTGGGGTCAGGACACACAATTAGAAATATCAGGTCATGAGCGGAGTGGTGTAAACAGCCCTGTTCCAGCCTGAGCAGCGTCTCTGTTTCAGCTGCTGGGATCCCACCGTGTCCTGACTGTTGGGGTGAGGATTCACGCTGGCTTGTGGGCACCTCCTTGAGCAGGAGGATGTGAGAGAAGCTGTGGATCAGTGATCCCCCTCCACAGGGCAGTGCCACGCTCAGCAGGCTCTCAGAGCTCCTAGGTACAGTGTGTCTGTGTTGCAGGACTGCGCTCAGGGACCCTCTGCAGTGACCTTGCCATAGGCACCCACTCTGCTCCGGGCACTGCTTTAGTTCTGCCATTCACCGTCTGCTTCCTGTGCCGAGCCCACGTTGGAATTCCCAGGGAATCACCCTGGGCACACCTGCGGATCGGAGGCAGGCGGTGACAGCGCGGTGACACTGTGAGCTAGCAGGAACCACTGTAATTGTAACTTCCCCACAGGGAAGAAGGAAAGCACAAAGTAACTCCAGCTGTTCCCTCCTCCTGGGGCTGCCACGGTGCTGGAGCAGTGATATTCCACCCGGACCTGTGGGGGCCTGATGCTTTTCAGAGTCACAGAGCCACTCTCTTTCCTGAACAGAGTACAGGGAGGCAAAATGCAGGGCACTACCCAAGCCTTGGGTCTGCAGTTGTATCTACAGCCTGTACAATTTAAGGACTGCTGATCTGCAGCCAGGATCTCCCCACCCCAGTCCTGTCCCTTTCAGCACAGCTACTCAGGCTGTGCCTCAGAGTAAAATTTGCCAATGTTGCTTCAGGATTTAGTGAAACACTTGAGCACATTCAGTCACCTTAAATTTAACCTGATGCTTACACATTCTCCTGGATCCAGACCTGGTATCCTACCTTGAAATTCCTCAGCTCCCATAGATTTCTGGTGAAAGATAAGACATTGAACACCTCAGAAAACTCGTCATGCCTCAAAGACTTTGTCCCTGCATACCTAGTACTTGGGTTAGCTTCATCATTATCAGCTGTTTGACTCCAGAGATAGAGGGTAGTGCTTCTCAGTGATGAAAAACAAGTTGAAGTGAGGCAGAAAAACCTGTGATAAATTAGTATTAAGAGCGTTAATGGGGCCAAATGTCCTGAGTTTATTGAATTAGGGAAGTCAAACTAATTTTAAAATTAAGCCTAGAAAGTGGGAGACTAGATAGCGTTGGCACAACAGAAAAGTCCTAATGGCTGTTGTCTCAGCACATTAGGAAAACACTGTCAAAGCTCTTGCTGACAAGATCCTTTCTCAGGGATTATTAATTATATTGCATTATTAGCCAGGCATGGTATGAGAACGTATTTAGCATGTTACTAAAATGCAACAACCATTTAGCTAATAAGTTTGACTTGGTCTTTTAAATTTTCTTAATGATTAGCAGCGTAGTAAAACTGTAATGGTGAGAGATAAAAATAATGATTCAACAAGCTGTGTCTCAAGAACAAGTTTTAACTGGAACTTGCATGTAGCAAGGACAGATAAAGTGTACAGTCCTAATTATCAGCCTGATGGGACGAGACAAAAGTAAACATATCGTCAGATTTAACTAACTCTAATGACCCTGTCCTGTGCTGGCATATGGCTAAAGTGCTCTTGTGATAGTAAAGCCCAGCTTGATCCTTCACTGCAGCTGTGGGGAGGACAAAGGCCCTTACTCTGCTCATCCTGTCCCAGGCTGGAAGGAGAAAACTCCCTTACCTTCTACATGGCAGCTGCTGCAAGGAAACACAGGCTAACACTCCATTTTCCTCAGGTGCCTCTGAACCCACAGGCAGTTCTTCTGGGAAGTTCAATGTTGTAGCTGTGGGCAGTGTTAATACTGTGGGCTTTGTTAAACTGATTTATGTGCTGCACCACAGTAACTGGACCAGACTTTCTATTGTCATTCACCAGTGACACAGGAAAACCAGGACTGACTGCTCAGTGTTGATCAATAAGGCCCCTCACTGCTGAGCTGCTGGCAGAGTCACTGATGCCCCCCCAGACAATAGAACAAAACTTAGCAGAAGTTTAGGAAATAATTTCATAGCTCCTGTATGATCACAGGGAACCCAGCCAGACTGGGCCCTCAGAGCAGTGGCAAATCTGCTTTGAACTTCACTTCTTCCCAAATGCTCCTCCTGCCTCTCGTGCCTACAGAGGCCCCACCACCAGGTTTTAGGCACCAGCACCATGGAAGCAGAGGTGCTTCACAGTGGGGTGAAGTGGGCAGTGTGGACAGCTGGGGCCAGACACTGGCACCCCTCCAGTCAGGGTTCATCCCGGCCCAAAGCCAGCTGTCACCAGCTCTAGAGCTGCCTCCAACACCAAGTCTCACCTCTGGACCACCTGTTTCAAAGGGATTTAGCTGAGGGCTTGCACAGCTTTTACCACCTGTGGAGCAAACGTGTCCTGCTCGGGAAATAGCTCCCATCTGGCGCTGGACGTATGTCTGAGATGTACAGTGGAGGAAAAACAGCAGCACAAGCCATCACATGACATAGATGTTGTTCATCTTTTATCTAACAGACCTAGATAACAATGCTGATAGCAAGAGTCCTCTTTTTTTTCTCCTTTTTGTACCTTCAGATAATCCATTATATTTAAGTTACAGTAAACAGAGCCAGTGGAGAGCTTCTGAGCCTGCCATGGCTGTTGGTCTCACCTGGGGGGACCGTGTGCAGCACACAGATGGACAGCTCCACACAGACCTGTGCCCCAGCTCTGCTGATCTCATCCCTAGCCTGGGCTCTGGTTCCAGCAGCCCTGCATGCCCTGTGTCAGACCTCACCCACCACTGCAGCACATGACAGCACTGACCCAGTTCTCCTCTAGTTAAATCCCTGCAGTCACTCCAGCAAAGCCTTTGGTGCAATCTTACTGCTTCAGTGCACACACCAGGGCCAGGCATTTCTGCCAGCGGACTTTGTGGCTGAGCTTGTCATCACTTGGAAGTGACCAGAGTGTGCTGTAGGGTCTTAATACCAAGACAGTAAAGACTACAAAGGAAAAAAAGTTCAGGCACATGGAAAGGAGCGTGAACCTTCCCTAAAACCAAACCCATAGCAGCAGCATGATCCTCCTCAGCCCATCTATTTTGTGCTTTTCATTATGCTCAATTCTCTGTTACATTTTGGCCACTGCTTCACCAGCAGCCCTGGTGAGCACACAGTGACCAAGCAATGCTGGTGTTTCATTTCTAAATAAATAATGGGTTTCTACCCTGAAAAAATTGCTAAAAAGTAACCTGGTATCACAACAAGGAACATGCAAATCTTAAAAGTCAAGCAGAGAGCAGGCTTTTACAATGGTTACAAAATATGCCCCCAAAAAAGGAAGAAAAATCCTTGGAGTTTGATTCTGCCACATAAAAATGTCTCATAAAAAATGCAAAAGGAGCACAAACAAGGCTATGGAAACAGCATGACCTCCTGCTTGCACACTATCTTGGCTGAAGCACATCCAGCCAGCAAAATGCTAAGTGATGCAAAATGGGGGTTAGGTAAGTGGCACCTTCCAGTTAACCTTCCAATACCCATTTCTTCTTTGGGTCATCAGTAATTGTTGCTCTATGAGCACCCTGAGCCTTTGTCTGGACCTGGAGCCTGTGGGTCTGGAGCACTGTATGGAAGAAAGGGAAAGAAAGTGCAGATGGGGAAGAAGGTGCACTGGCAATGGTCACACCATGGAAGGGGTGGCACCAGGACTCGAGTCTCCTCACACGGAGGCCAAGAGTGCCCAGGCTTTTTGTGTGGTCAGTGTTGTGCTGTGCCTTGTGCTGCAGCAGTGAGAAGGAGGAGAGGAGAGGCTTCCTGAGAGGAAAGAGAGAGCTAAATAGTCTGGCTGAAATGTAGGAAATATGCCCATCAGCCCAGCCACAGTTTCTAAGATTCTCCAAAAAAATATTGCAACTGAGAAATCCTTATGAGATCAGAGAGCATTTCCATAATGCACAGATAGCAAAGCAAGGGAAGTACATCCCAGCCAGCTCAGGTGGGATCCACTATCTTCCTCTGCAGAAGCAAGAGTAAGGGGATGTTTGCTCCACCTGTTTTCCTTAGCACCTGGGGTGAGCAGTGCTGTTTGCTGGTGGCACAACTGCATGAGCAGTTGGATTTTAAAGACACCAGACCACTCAGCAGAATGAAGCAGAGAGATGGGGATAAAAAAGTAAAACATGAGGCTGCAGCATCAGCCAGCCCTTCTTTCCTTCATTTCAGCTAAGAGACGGCCCTGCTCAATGCTGTCTGGTAAGATCACTGTCCCACTGGGCTCTCCCAGAAGGGCATTGAGATGGACATGTACTGTACTCCTCCTGTCCTTTCCCTAGCTCTTCCTGCAGCCCATTTGTCCCAAGTGTCTCAGAGTAAAATGCCAGGTTAGCACCTGTGGCTGGGAGGTGTGAACTGCAGCAGCCAGAAGGAATCCAGTGGATGGGTCCTCCTGGTCTGCCAGCTGCAAGGTCTTTGTGAAACGAGACTTTTGCCCAGCATTCTTCCCATGGTGCCTGAAGGAGGTGCATGCCCAGTCGTGCATGCCCAGTCCCTCCTTTCTGGGTGCATGGGATGTCTATGCCTCCTCGCCGCGTCGCAGGTCCTGCAGCTCAGTCATGGCTTTGGCCGAGAGCTTCTTGCGGCGGAACACGGCTGCAATCTCCTCAAAGGACTTTCCTTTCGTCTCTGGCACTTTGAAGTGCGCAAACAGGAAGAAGATGAGGAGCAGACCCGCGAAGATTGCAAACACGTATGGTCCACACAGATCCTGCAGTGGGAAAGTGAGAACGGGGAGACCACCATCAGCGCCACAGGGATGGCTTCCCCTTCCTACCCTGGCTGGCTGAGGATCCCAGCCAGGCTAGGGGATGGAAATGTGGGAGGCACATTCACATGGGATCGTGCCAGTCATTTATTTGTGTGATTTAAGAGATTTCTTACTGCTATGTACTGGAAACACATTCCCACGATGAAGTTGCAGGCCCAGTTGCAGAAGCCGGCGACAGCGATGGCGGCAGGGCGCGGGCCCTGGCTGAACAGTTCGGCTACGATGAACCAGGGGATGGGCCCGGGCCCCACTTCGAAGAAGATGACAAAGAGGAAGATTGCGACCATGCTGACGTAGCTCATCCAGGCAAACTGGCTCTGCAAGAGGTTGGTATTATAGACCCAAACTAACTCTCATTAATTAACACTAATTACTTTATTTAGGTTCCTTTTTCAGAAATTTCTTTCTGTTCAGACAAAGGAGGACAGGACATGAATAATTAAGGTTTTAAACTCTTGTGCCAGGTGCTGGCTGGGTATGTGGTGCCAGCATTGCTGCCTGGAGGAGTTCACAGCCATCAGCTTAGCTGTTACTTTGAGCCCTCTCCTTGCCTGCAGCTCAGCAAAGCGAGGCAGAATGGCACCCTTTAATAACCAGGGTGTTCAGCAAAGGAGGCCACCCCTTATTTGCTTTTTAATCTTGACAGGCGCTTGGAGCAGTGGTTTGGACTGACTTTGATGGGATCTTCTCTTGTTTCCAAACCAGGGAGAAAAAATTGAGAGAAATCCTTACCAGGAGCACAAGCCCAACTGTCATGGCCACGGCGCTGACTAACATGCCCATCAAACCTGCCAGGAACAGGGACCGCCTGCCCGCCTTCTCCACCAGAAAGACCTGTAGAAACACATGCAGGAGCTCAGTGTGCAGCACCACCACTCTCAGGATCAGGTCCATTGGCAATAACCACTGTTACCACTGCCACACTTTTGCTATTTTGTTCTTTTGCTCTTTTAGCTCTAGTGGTATAGATTTATTTGCTGGTTTCCAAGTGTCAGAAACTGTGCTGGCAGCTGCTGGGGAGCCTGACTGAGCAGTCACCCTGCCAAGGGCAAGGCAAAGGCACACACACTCACAGCCCATGCATTTCCAAGCTCTCAGGACTTCCCACTGCTCCTACACATGAATTGCTGACTGTGGACTTTTTCTCTCTCTGCCTTTTATTTTTGTCTTCCAGGAACTAAAAACTTACTAGGTCTGCATTAGTTTGAAATCAGGCTTCAAAATGTAGCACAATTCAGGTCACGTCACGGGCCATTGCACCTTGCCTGTCCTAAGGCAGGAATAGTTGTGTAGCAGCTGCAGTCAGGATTTTTCTTCCAATCACTCCCAGACTCCTTTTGCTTTGCTGGTAGTCACAAAGCTTAGTTTGCTCCTTCTCAGCTCCTCTTGGTGGACTCCAGCCATGTCACCCATCTTTTGACAGATACCTAAGTCTGTACCAGACACCTCACCCGACAGGGAGCTGTAGTTCCCTCCAGAGGACAGTGCAGCTGTCCTGGCCTAACCATGCAGCAGGCTCTGAGGCTGCCTGCTCCTTTCCCTCTGCTTGAAAGGACACCTCTGGCCAGCAGCTCCACCTTTGCTGCCATTACAGCCATGATTTACTCTTCCCAGGGACCGTCTCTTTTGCTAGAGGCAGTCCATGTGCTGACACGTGAAGCTGCAGAGGATGAGTCTCTGCTCCCTTCTCCCTTTTCAAGGTCCACCCAGCTGTCAGTACTTCTGCCTTTTGATCAGGGTCTGTCATTTATTGACAAAAGCAGGTAATTTTTAATTTTTGCTCATGGACAAAAGAAGCAAAGAGCAAATGCCCAAGGCTGCAAGTACTACAACCATGGGGATCAAACTGCAGGACACCCTCCATGCTGAAGAAAGGTTTCTTCCAGCTGCACACCTCTGTGCCCCATTTCACAATAACTTCACATTTTCTCCTCATGGGGCCTACAATGGGCTTTCTCTAAGGCAGGTTTACTCCAAGATATCCCCTCTCACACATACTGGGGTATGAATGGTTTGGGTTGGAAGGGACCTTAAAGATCATCCAATTTCAACCCCCTGTCATAGGCAGGGACACCTTCCACAAGACCAAGCCTGGTCTTGGACAGTTCGGAGATGAGGCATCCACAACCTCTCTAAGAAACCTGTGCCAGTGGCTCACCACCCTCACAGCCAAGAATTTCTTTCTAATAGCTAATCAAATCATCCTCTCTGTCAATATAAAATTGTCTCCTTGTCCTAAATCTCTTGGAGCTGTGTATTTCTGCCTTGCAGCCAGTCCTGCATCATGTTGGTGAAAGTTCTTTACTCTCTAAATCTCTAGAGAGATATGAGGGAAATAGGCCTGGCATTTCCTGGTCTTGTATTAATGGCCTCATTATAAAACTAATTGCCAGCTGATAGGAACTGTGTTAATCCTCTCAAGAGGGAGACAAATGAAGAGAAGGTCTGTGGAAACAGAACCATCCTTTTATTGCTGCAGAGCCCTGCACAGATAGGATGAGGATAGGTGCTGGATTACTTTTATTACTGTGGAATAGCCTTTGGATATCACTCGTGCAGGTGCTATGTACATACAGAAAACAGTTTGAAAGATAACAGGTAAGAGCAGACTGGGAGCTGGTGACTTCCCCATCAGAGTCCCCCATCCCCTGCCTGCTCCCTGGGGAAATAGGGCCTCCAGAATTGCAGTCTCATGGGCAATTTTTATTCTGGGGGGAAATGCAGAGTTTTCAGAGCTGCCCTGAACACAGCAGTGCAGTTTCCACTCACGAGGCATTTAGCAGTGCTGATCGATAGCCACATGTCAAGGCTTGAATTTTCAAATTCAGCTTTCCCAGGGAATGATATTTCCCTGTAAGGTGTTCAGGGTCAGTCCTGCAACACTGCAAATCCCAGGTCCAGGATAAAATCATGTTTCAAAACCACGCTGTACCTTATGTGTAGTCCAGGGGGCAGAAGTATTTACTTACAGAGATAACAGTGAAGACCGTGTTCACCACTCCAACACCGATGGTTGCATAAACTGGTTGGTCAACCCCAGCTCTCTCGAAAATGTTTGTGGAGTAGTAAAAGATCTATCAGAATACATCAGGATGAAGGATTAGGCAACAGGGCTGTTGAAACTTTTTGTTCTCATGAGGGAAGAGCGTGCACTTGCTTGGCTGAGATGTGGCATAATTTAATTATGATTAATTTTTCAACTTTTAACGGCTTGTTATAATAATTAAAGCTGAAAATTTCATAGGAGCCTGAGGGAGTTAAAAATCCAGTTGAAATTCCCCTCTTGAGCTACTGCATTTGCACATTAAATCTGTTTTCTTCTATGTAGTCTGTTTAGTCTGAAATCCAGATCACCAGCACTGAGCACTCAAGACAAATATCTTAGTATGAAACAAATATCTTAATTTTAAAATATTCTCATTGTAATGACTCCCATTTTTTTCTTCTCCCCAAGAATAAGGTTATTCCTGTCTGGTGAAGTTAAGGGCAGGAGGTAAAGGGTGGCTAGTGGATGGGATGGGCATGGCCTGGAGCCTGGTAGGCTGGGCATCCCTGTGTGCTCCTTAATGTTTCTGGGTGTCAAATGGATTTCTGGTATTCCAGGAGGTGATGCAAAAGTTGTTTAGCTAAAACCAGCTAGAAAATAGTTATTCTGGGGTAAGCATGATGTCGTGAAAGAGAGCAAACTGCTGACAGACTTGGGTAGGTGAGGATCATGGGAGGGCTCAGCATGGGCCTGCTGTGCCAGCTGGTTTTGTGCTGGACTCCCTCCCACCTTTCTCCCCTCCTGCCCTCCCACAGCCAGCTTGGCAGGGACCCAGGAGACCACTACAGCCATGGGAAAGCCTTCTTCCATCCCTGCGTGGCTTGGATGGAGCCAGAACTGCCTTTTCATGCTCAGCATGGATCTCTTGAGAGACAAACATTTTGGGGAGACTCACCGCATTGATTCCTGAGAACTGCTGGGATATTTGCACCATCAGTGCCACAATGACAGCCTGCCTGTACTTGGAAGAGGTGAAAAGCTGTCTTATGGAGACTTTCTTTTCACTAGCAGCTTCTTGCTTTTCCTTTTCCATCTCTTCAATCTCTTTCATTGGATCACAGTTTCCTCTAAGCCTTTTCAGATCTTAGGGAAAAAAAAAAAAAAGATTGACATTTTCTTTTAGTGGTAGATAAGTTGTATATGTAAGGACAAAAATCTCTTTAGGCAAAACTCAAGGTAAGCCAAGGATCCAGGGTGTATCTGCTTAGTCAGGGGCAGCAGCACATCAGCTCTGCAACAGCCCTGAGGTCACTCTCGAGCCTCATCCCTCAGCAGTGCTGCTCAGTCCCCTGCAAATGTCTCAATAGTTTTTGATCCAGAGCTAGTTTGTAACTCAGCAGCTCAGAGCATGAGATGGACCAACCACAATCACATCTGAGTCCTCAGCCAGGCTTTTCCTTCTCTGTTTTGTACTATGTAAAGCATAAAACCAACTCTAGACAAGCCCAGAATGTCTTTCTTACTTTTTTTAGCTTCCTCCACCTTCCCCAGTTTGATGTAAAGATATCGGGGGCTCTCAGGGCACAGCAAGAGCAGGAAGAACTGCAGCAGGGCAGCCACACCAGACAGACCAAGGAGCAGGGGCCACATCTCGTCATTGCCCAGAAGAAAGTCTAGTCCAAGGATCTGGAATAATTGAAGCATATTTGAATGGATCATTTTGTACCCTAAGAAGAGAAAGCAATTGGCCACTATGGTCTTTTGAAGTGACAAGCTGGGGGAAAACTAGAAGCAAATACCAACTCTTTTTCTGGATCTGTTTGTTTTCTGTACATTTATGTGCCCAACTGTTGTGTAGATGGGACTTGTGCCATGGTGGGCAACGCTGATGGGGCCTTTGGCTCCCTACTTCCCTGATGAAGCCATTTTTGAGAACCTGATTATCAGGGGTCTCATGCTCAGAATCCAGCCTGACAGTGATGAGATGCTGAAAAAAATTCTTCAGGGAGAGGAGAAATTATTTGCAGAAGTATTTTTTATTTCTTGAGAAGTTGTCTTTATTAAGACACCTCTTACTGAAAGCAGAGGTTTGACCCCATTAAAGCAGATTGTTTTGCACACTCCTTCAGTTATGGGGTGGAATGGTGAACAACAGCCCAGTACATCACTATGATCTTCCTATTCTCTGAAACACCCTCTCTGGATGTGTGTGTTTTCCTGCTTACCTGGCTGAAGAGGATGCCTGTGACGATTGCGAGCTGGTGCAGCGTCCCCAGCGCTCCTCGAAGGGCCGTGGGAGAGACCTCGCTGACATACATGGGCACGAGTCCCGAGGAGAGCCCTGCAGCGAGCACACGTGGGTGTCACCTCTCCCAGCAACCAGCAGAAAGCACTTCCCAAACAGGAAAGGAGGATGGAGCCTGTGTGCTGCACCCCACACCCCACCGAGCCCCTCACGCCTGGCTGGGTGCCACCTGCACCTTGGAAAGGTGCTGGGATGTCCCTGCATTCAGAGCCCCAGCCTGGGAAGCCTTTTTACTTGAACACACACATCAGAGCACAGAGCAGGGATTATCTGCTGGAGTTATCACAGAGTGAAAGAACCTTCTTAAAATTTGCCTTGAAACCTCAGAGTGGAGAATTGTATTTGCATACCAGTGACAGTATAAAGAGCTGTTATTTCCAAGCTAATTCTAATGTAATTCCCAATTATTTGCTGGCTATATCCTCTTTGTGCACAGTGGTCCTGTGCTCTCTGTCTATGGAAGATGTTAACCAGCCTGGCTAATGATGTGCTCTTGCAGCAGCCACCAGCAAGACTCATCCTTGAGATACAGAGGGACCCGCTCCTTTCTGGATTATATCCTCTTTGTGCACAGTGGTTCTGTGCTCTCTGTCTAGGGAAGATGTTAACCAGCCTGGCTAGTGATGTGCTCTTGCAGCAAGACTCATCCTTGAGATACAGAGGGACCTGCTCCTTTCTGGATGTGTAAAATAAAAATATGATAGAGCCAACCAAAACACTTCTGGGAAAGATTCTGGATCAAGAAGGGCAGACATAGGGAGAACAGGGAAATTCCCACCTGTGAAACTCCTTCTGAACTAAAAAAATTATTTAAAAATATGGGAAACTCTGAACTGCAGCCCTGGGCACGCTACCAAGGGGCTGATTTCAGTGGCTGACACAGCCTGGACTCACCGCAGTACAGCCCCGTGACCGCTCTCCCGGAGATGATGAGGATGTGGGATGGCCCAAATTTCGCCAGCCCCATGAGGAGATTCCCAGCAATGGAGAGGACATTCACCACCAGCATGGCTTTCACTCTGCAAGGCAGCAGCAGCACAGCTCCTCTGGCACCTCTCTCAGCCAAAGCAGCCATTGCAACACACAAGGGGAACTGTGAAGTCACTTAATCAGTACTACAGGGGAAAAACAATGATAGCAAGCACTGCAAAATACAGGGACCAGGGTACAATCAGGGTAGTTAAAATTATATTATAAATAATAATTTACATCCTGTGCAAATACCATGCAGATATCCTCCTCTTCCTTTTGCCATGGAAAGAAAAGGGGGAATTCAGAACTTAATCAAGGCTGCTCATCAGCTGCTCTCTGAAACGCTCAAGTTGCAATAAAATGTCTGATTTGTAACTGAGGGTTTTAAAAAGCCCAGCCTGGCTGAAACAGTATTTTGGAAATTGAGAGGGTTATTTTTCCTTTTTTTCCTAAATTGCTGAAAATAACACAAATGGTATTTCTACAGGGAGGAAATAGTTCTATGGGAAAAAATCAATCAGAAGGGTTTGGGCTGTGGCACAGAGTCAGAGCACACACGAGCCTCTCACCTCCCGAGCCGGTCGCCGATCCAGCCCACGGTGAAGGAGGAGACCATGCCTCCGATGGCGAACACGGACACGGACAGGGACCAGTACATGGTGAGGATGTGTGGGGAGGCAGCGAGGTCCTCGCTGGTGCCAGTCGGGGGTGGGAGTGTGCCCTCTGTGCCATCCTCCCCGGAGGCATTGGTGGAGTATCTGTCTGGGGAGACAATGCCCAGCACGCGCCCGTAGTGCGCTTCTATCACCTGTGACAGGTAAAGAAGAAAAACGCCTCAGCTGAGATCTGTAACCACCCCAACCCCTGTTTTGGATTTTATTCTGTTTTAGAAAAAGATTTGCATTGCAGGCTCTGCAGGGGTAAAATCTTGGGTTCCCCAGCTCCACAACACCCAGACCTTAGCGGGGAGGGGCCACAAGGGCAGGCATAAAGCATTCCTCCTCCCGGGGCTGGGCTGAGCATGGTGTTTGGATTTGGCACTGGATTTGGTGGAGGGGTACAATCCCTTGGCTCAGGCACAGGGACCGTGTTACAGTGGGGACGGCTCCATTGTGTGCAGAGCCCCACTCCTTTCCCCGGGGAATTGCCAGTGGAGGGTCCTGGCTGTGTTCTCAGCCCACTGCCCTGTCATGGGGGCTTTGTTCTGTGGGAGAAACTGCCTGGGAAGGGACAGAGTCCTCCTGAGGGGTTCTGCAAGGGACAAACTGGCCCTGGCTGCCCTGAAGCCGTAGTTCCTTGGCCATGCATAGCTTGAGGGGCTCAACTTACCTTCTGGGGGGCATTAATGACCCCCAGGCTGTAGCCATACTGGAAGAAGCCCAACACCGCAGTGAAGACGGAGAGGATCAATGTTCCTGTGAGGTGCTGGGGTAGGAAGCAAAGAACAACCTCATCATACTGTCCTAGCAGTGCCAAAACTGGGGGAGGGCTGCATCCCACCCCTATCCCAGGGGACCCTGCTGCCCAGTTGGCTGGGACAGTGGCATCCAGGGGTGCTGCTGCAGTAGCACAGGTGGTTGGCTTGCTCCAAAGGAGAAGGAAAGGCTGTGGGAACAGGCAAGATCAGGCCCCCACAATGACAGTCCAGCTCTCCCTGCTCCACTGCTTGTCCAGGCCCTGGAGCTCGTGGGAGCCAAGGCTCTGCCCAGTACAGAGGTGCAAGAAGCAGCAGCAGCAGCAGTGTGTTGTTCCCCTTCCCATCCCCATCTCTGGAGCACAACAGCTGGGAAAAAAAACACCAAAAGGGTGTTTTTCAGCAGCACTGTTTAAAGCATTTCTTCCTCCCATCATGGTTAAAGTTATCCAATGAGCCAACAGACCTCTTCAAATAAAAATAGCCCCTTGGCCCTTTTCCCCTTTGCTCCTGTGCACAATTAATTACAGGAGGGGAATTTTTTTTTTTTCAGTTGGTTCTGGTTTTGGCAAGGGATTGCTCAGTGCAGGGGTCCTGCAGAAATTCTAGTCATTTCATTGTTAAGTCTAGTGCAAGAATACCGGCGAGCCATGATTACCTTCTCTGTCTGCATTTTCCTTTTCTCATCCACCCCGCTGCTCCTCCGCTCTCCTTCTGGGAACAGTCACTGCCCTGAGCTGCAGAGCAAGGTGCAGGCTTGGGCAGGGAAGGAAGGACAGCAGAGCTGGGATGGAGGCAGGAAAACGGGCTGGTGCTTGGAGAGATGGGACTATATCAACTCTGGAGTTAATGAGAAACCCAAGTCTTCCACGCATTATTTGGCCACCGCTCAGCTCAAAGCAGCCACCACCAATCCCCGTGTGTGGGACACACACGAAACAATGAGAGACCTGCAAAGACATGGAGCAAATCTGGAAAATTCAAATGATCAAGACACAGGGTTGGTTTGGGGCTGTCTCTCAGCTGAACAGTTGGGAATGTGACGTGCCGGGGGCTTGAGCCTGTTTCGAGATGCTCAACACCTACCTCGGCTTCTGTGCTGGGTGTGCATGTCACATCACAATCCTCTTGCTGAATCAGGGAGAAGAAACCTCTCCAGCACATTTTCTAGTAGCAAAGCAGCTAGAAAATGACTAAGAGTTTTATTTTAATAGCACTTAGCACCTGCTTTAAAATATATTCATGTGTATGTATCACATACAGAGCCGCATATAAACACAGATGTATACAGGTCTCTCTGTGTATCCATACACAGACACCTGCATACACAGAGCCCTCTCAGCAGGCAGCTCTAATGCCAGTACACACCTATCAGGGGAGATAGCTGTGTATATGGACATAAAACACAACAAAATTACCCAGAATATTACATTAAAAGAGCCTGTCATTAAAAACCCTACAGTGGTGTGAACAGTGAGCCTTTCAGCACCACCAGTTGATGGCTGTGCTGTCAGATATTGTGGATTCTGGGTAACACTGCCAGTGCTGCCAAATACTACTGATGCTGCCAAATATTTTTGCGTTAGTGCACTCGGCTTTCACGAACTTTGCACATCTGCACAAGCTGGTCTGAGCTGGTCTTGCTCGGGCTTGGGAGTTGCTGTCCTTGACATGGTCAGGGAGAGGAGCTGCAGGGCCGGGCTGGGGGGGGACAGTGGCATCCTTAGCGGCAGCAGACCGTGCCAAAGTCTGAGTCAGCCGGGAAGGTGATTAATGCTGATTAAAGTAATTATCTTCCAGATCAGCCCCTGATGGGTTCAGCAGCCAAGCTACAGCACTCATTGGATGATGCTCTCAGTCAGCCAGGCTTCACATGAGCACAAAATGTACTTTCTACAGAGGAAGAGCAAGAGAAAAAACAACAAAGATGAGTGTAAGACCACTAATCTTTGCACTGGTCTCCAGAAAGGTAAAACTTTAACTGGGAGAGGAAAGTTCATTACATTAAGCAGGCTTTGATTCCAGCCACAGCACCTGCATTCCCCTCTAGGGCTGGTGTAGCTGTGACAGGAAGGGCCCCAAGGCTGAGCTTTTTAGTTTTCCCCAATATTTGTCCTTCCTGCTGAGATCTTTGCCAATGGTGTTTGTTTGCTCACTGTGTGTGGATACCCAGGCATTTACAAGCAGTTTCTTTGCATTGCAGTTAAATACCTTCACAATGGGACTGTCAGGATTTGACAATTACCAGGCTGCTAAGGCTTGAATCAGAAAACAAATGGGGGCCCTGACCCAAGACCAAACCTTCAGGCAGTGTGGAAACTTTGCCAGGACAGATGTTCCCCTCCAGGATTCCCACGTACCCCTCAGGGATCCCCATCCTGTTGCAGGTGCCTGGCACAAAGAGCTTTCCCTCCTTATTCTTCCCAGACTACTGGAACTGGAGGGATCAAAGACCACCAACAAACCAGGAGCAGGGTGGCCTTTCCATGTCCTGCCCACTGCTGCTTAGAGCAGAGCCTTCCCAGAATCCGGCTTCCTGGGGATGGGGTGTGGAGCAGCTGGACAGTGCTGGGAGGCATGGGTGAACATCACTCACCTCCTCAGGAGCAGTCCTTCCACTTCCATGGAAACAATGGATGCCAAAGGCTGGAAGCTCCACAACCACACATATTCCTTGGCCAGGTCTGCTGGCAAAAGGCATGGAGTTATCCCAGAGTATTCCCATCCCTCCCTGGCCCCTCTTACCCTCCCTGCCAGGCAAGATGCTGCAACCCAGTGCCAGGGCTGCTTCACCTCTGCCTTTGAGCCCCTGGCTGGTGCCAGCTGGGCTGTGACACACTCCTCCACAGCTTGGCCCCAGGCAATTTAGTATTGAACATCTTGAACTCTCAGTGGCACTAACAGACTCTGTGATTCTCTGAACAGGGGGTTGGATGTGGATGTGGTGACTAGCAGAGGCCAGCTTTAGGCTGGTCCCAAGGCTCATGGATGGGAAAGGTTGATGTGTAAATCTTCCTCTCACTGCAACCACTTTCCAAAGGGGATGATTGTTGGCTTGGTAGAGAGAAGCAGTGTTCCTACAGGATAAAGAGCCAGGCCTGGCTCCACCAGGATGAATGACCTACCATCAAATCTCTTGCACATCTGACAGCCAGTTGTGATCACAGTCCAGAGGGTGCAGAGAGTGGCACAGCACAGCCCAAAGCAACACTGACCCACCCCCATGGCTGAAGAGCCTGGCCAGGCAGTGTTTATGTGATTGGCAAACAACAGGGTCTGCATTATTGCCAATGCTTTATTTAAATAATAAAGTGCAAGAACTGTGCATAATGTTAGACAGAATTGCCACGCTTATTGCCTGCTCTGTGTTGTGTGTAGTGTAATTGGTGGTGTTGATAATCTATGTGTGATAAAAGCAATGGGCTTAAGTTTATGGTGGGGCTCTGCTTTTGAACAGCTGAACATGCTTGTCACCTCAGTGGAAGGAATTCCAAGATTCCAGAGGGGCTGTGAGGCTATACCCAGGTGACAGGGCAATTTGCACATCCATTTTACTGCTCTGGGTCAATCAGAGACAGCTTTGATGTTAAAAAAAAAAAGGAAAAGTATACCATAAACCAAAACAAAACAAAGGAAAAAAGGTAGATCTGGTCTGCAAGACACTGTCCATCAAAGAGCAGGCTGATGTAGCACATCAGTGGCTGGCACAAAACAAAATTATGTTCTTTCATTTCTCCTCTCTAAGCACATCAGCTGGGGCAGGCAGCAGTGCTGAGGACACATGTGAGACAGCAGCTGAGGCTGATAAAACACATTTAGGAGAGAGAATTCGGTGCATTTACAGCACTGCTGTAAAGATACCAGAGGTTCATGAGCCCCTTCCCACCCCCCAGCTCTGGGTGGTGCAGCATCTCCCTGAAGAGAAAAACTGGGAAGCAAACCCAGCAAATCCCTCCAGCTGCAGGTCCCAACTGCAGCACAGGGCAGAACACGGGTGCTGCAGGGCAGCAGAGGCTGTGACAGGTGTCCTGTGCCAGGAAATGCATCCTGATTGCTAAGGAATCTCTGCTGCATCTCCTCAGAGCCGTGCCAGGTGGGTGGCTAAGCCCAGACACAGGCAGGGTGTGACATGGAGCTCACCCCACACCTTTGGGAACAGGCAGGTTCAGTCTCTGCTGGCCTGCACGATGCTTGTGCTGGCCCCAATTACAGAGCATCAGACTGTTGCAGGAAAAGACCTTAAGTGGTCACATCAGGAAAATGAACTGCAGCTTGACTTCAACCATTTCCAGCAACCAGTCCAGCTCTGGGGTTGGGGCCACTGTCACCTTGAGCATCCCTGCTCTGTCCCAAAATACACAGTGTCAACCCCCAAACCAAAGGCAATTTGATATTAATTCTGAAACAGGTTTGAAAAGATTCAGTTCCCACAAGCAGCTGCTACAGCCTTACCTCTGAGCATCCTTCACCTGGCAGTGGAACCCAGCGTCTCCCCAGGGTGGTGGAGCTAACCATGGCCCTTGCATGGCCTCATGCCAGCTCTAAGGGCTTTTCTTCCATTTATCATGACTCATGCCTGAAGTTATACAATTTCATAGCACTGTACAGCTAAACAAATTTCCTTTCCTGGGCAAAAAGTCCCAGAAACAGGATTTTAAAATGAGCTGCGAGTTTTATTTCTTTAAATGTTACTAATAAGTAGTTTCTGAGGGCATTAATAAACCATAAGCACATTTTACTTACAGCAAAAGAAAAGCAAATCAAAGTTAGTAACATCTGGAGGGGAAATGTCTTTATAATAACCATGGGTCAATTTTGTAGAAGAGGAGTTTTCAGGTGGTGATGGTCCATCAAGACATCCCTTGGCCACTGCTCATGGCTGACCATGTCCCATCTCCCTGCACTCACCCTGTTCCAAAACCACCTTCCCAAGAGTCTCCAGACAAAGAGCATTGTGACTGGGAGCCCTGAAAATCCCCTTTACCTCCATGTCCAACACCCCAGGTTTTATTTACCCAAACATAAAAGGCATGGCTTAATGGTGAAGTTTTGTGTTTTATTGTGGTTGGCACCAGAAAAGCATTTGCTCTGTGTTATCTCCATACACACATGCCATAGACAAGACTGTGGTAATATTGGCTTCTGTGATTTTTGTTTCAAATTATTCTGAGATTTAAAAAACTACATTCACAAACCACCTGAGTCGTTTAAACTCAATGACTGCCTGCTATTTCATCACTGTACGCAAAACCCCATAACAAAAATCATCCAAAGCTGTGCATTTGTCACTTGAAGTAGAACAAAAAACACCCCAAAACAGTTATCAGTTTGCAACACAATAAAAGCTCTGGGCTTTATTTGATTTTTATTTTAACCACAATGAAAATACAAAGAGCTGGTGGCAATCAGTGTTTGTGATGGGATTTGAAAACCAGTATCTGATCCTGTGGCCATCCCTACACTCTCCAGGCTGCACCAGCCCAACAGGAGGGTGTCTGGTGCTCGAAGAACACACCACAAAGCACATCCCACCTGTTGTTCCCTGAACTCCACGTCCTGGGAGTCCCACTGCTGGCAATCCCTGCGGTACCAAACCCTGACACCCTGCCCACAGAATGCTTCAGGTGAGGGTGGCCCAGCCCATCCCATCCCCGTCACCCCACATCACCTCTTACCCTTGATAAAGATTCAAGTTTGACCAAGTCCTGTTGATTTAATAATTTTTTAATAAAGCCATCGTTACTGAGTACACCAAGATTGCCAGTTAAGCTCTCTATATGTCGCTGGAGGTAACAGCGCTGTGATCGACAGCGGAACGGAAAAAAAAATAAAACGAAACCAAACCAAAAAAC